GGGCGCCCTCTGGCGACCGTGTGGGAAATAGGCTGTGAGGGGTGAGGACAGAGGCTGTTGATGGTTCAGATAGGAGGGGATGGTGAGAAATGGGCACTCTGGACCTAAATTGAATGTAGATTTCTTTATAGACCATGGAGCTCGGATGGCGCTTTTTAGTCACAAGGTCGGTAGTTCAAATCCACCACCCACTTCACAGACAAAGATGATGCTTTTTACTTACATTTTAAAGATTATTTACAAACAGTCTCGGGAACCCTATTCTGGGTGGCTCTGTATGAGTGGAAATCCACTGAGTTTGTTTTTTAGAGGACATGGGCGGGGGAGGGGAGGAAAGGAAGGGGAGGAGCTGCCATCCACTGAGATGGGACTCCACCCCATGTGATCGAGTACAACTGCCCCATAAGAGTTTTCTAAGTCGGATGGTATTGTAGAATAAGCACCGCAAAGTCGGTGGTTCAAAGTCACTAGCCGCTCCTCGAACATCCTATACAAGGTTGCTATGAGTCGGAACCAACTCAATGACACTTAACAACAGTAATCTTTACAGGAATGGATCACCAGGGTTTTCTTTAGTTGTCAGGCCAATTGGAGTCACCAATCTTTTTACAAGCGTTTAACCTTTTGCACTCCCAGAGCTCCATATGGCACTGTAGGGTAAGCACTAAACCAAAAGGTCAGTTTGAACTGCAAAGTCAGCAGTTCAAACTCACCAGCTGCTCCTCAGAAATCCTATACAGGCTCGCTATGAATTAGAACTGACTTGATGGCACTTAGTAACAATCTGTATAGAGTCCTTACAGCCCTGGGTTGCAGGACTTTAACCACTGAGCACAGTGGTTAAACATTCAGCTGCTAAGATAATGTTCCTAGTTCAAATCCACCAGCCTCTCCACAGGGGAAAGATGAGGCTGTCTGCTTCTGGAGAGGTTTATGGCCTCAGAAATCCTGGGGAGCAGTTCTACTCTGTCCAATAGGGTCATTCTGAGGCAGAATCAAATCAATGGCACCAAGTTTTATATAATAAGAATTTTTTTAAAAGCCACCCAATTTGTATTTTTTTTGTGAGGGTGTGGTGGTGGATTTCTGAGGCTGTAAATCTTTAAGGGAGAAGAAAGCTTCATCTTTTTCCTGTGGAATGGGTGGTAATTTCAAACTGCTGACCTTGAGGTCAGTAGCCCAATGCGTAACCACGCCACTACCAGAGCTCCTTTGTATGAGGACAGCATTGGATAATTGAGACATGTATTCAATTTCCAGCAGCTAGAAAGACCCTGGGGGTAAGGGGCATCTCTGGACAGATCTCCCCACCCAGCCCCCCACATTCCCCAGTCATATTCTAAAAAGGGCAGAGATGGGATGCCAGACCCTTGGAGTAGAAATAGATCAGGAGCTGGGTAACCCCCTAGGATCCCTGCTCAGAATCACAGTCCCTCCATGACCTTCCTACATCCTGAGCTTCTCTCTGTTTCCAGCTGCCGGCCTTGGACCTTCCACCTCGCAGCCCCTTTCAGGAAGGGTCAGTGTTGCTGGGCTTGGGACAGGAAAGACGTGTCCTTCACTCCAGGATGGTAAAGCTCTAACTGCCTAGTTCTGCTTCCTTATAGTACCCCATCCTCAGCACCACTAAACCAACTGGGAAGGTCCCGGAAGTTTCCTAGGAAGTCTGGGGTAGCAGAGTTAACAGGTATCTTTTTCTGACTATGAGGATATGCTAACGTGCTCAACTGCTAACCAAAAGGTGAGTGATTCAGATTGAATCAGTTCCACTCAGAATAAAGGCCTGCCAATATACTTCCAAGTAACCAGTTATGAAAACCCTATGAGGAGATGAACCTCGGCTTGGCCTGGCTTCTGACGCTCTAACCCCTCCCCCAGAAGACCATCTCAGTGGGCTCATCGACGCTCACCAGAGGAACCACTTGTGACCGAAAGGCCAAGATCAAAAATGCCGACTTGTCAAAGGAAATGCAACAAGACTTGGTGGAGTGCACTGCGCAGGTGCTGGGGAAACACACCATCGAAAAGGGATATCACAGACCACATCAAGAAGGAGTTCGACAAGAAAAAACAACCTCACCTGTCACTGCATCGGTGGGGAGCAAATTTGGTAGATGTGTTGACACATGAAACTAAGCACTTCATCTCCTTCTATCTGGGCCAAGTGGTCATTCTTCTGGTCAAACCTGGTTAAAGCGTGGACTGCCCACACATGCAGTGATCCATCCCAAACCAAGGACTGCAGACTCAATTCCAAACCCCAGACACTGAAATCTTCAGCCTTGCTAAGGGAACACCTCCATCTTTGACCCTTCACTGTGTTGTTCTGTACAAGGCCTTCTCTGTGCTAGTTAGGTGTGGTTATAAAACAATTAGCAAAACGGCTTAAAAAAAAAAAATAAGGAAGAAAACCCTATGGAACATACATGGAGTCACTATAGTTAGAGATAACTGAAAGGCAGCAACTGGGTTTTGGTGTTGTTGTTTTAACATTCTCTAAGGAGCAAGGAGCTCTGGTGGCACAGTGGTTACAGTGCTCAGATGCTAACCCAAAGGTTGGTGGTTCAAACCTACCAGTTGTTCCATGGGAGAAAGATGAGACAGTCAGCTTCCCCAAAGAAACCCTATGGGGTAGTTTTACTCTGCCCTGTAGGGTAACTCCCAGTCGGAATCAACACAATGACAACTAGTTTGGTCTCTAAAAAGCTGGGTTCTTTTGGCAAAAGGGAGATCAAAGCAGGGCTTCTGAGTGGAGTGGTTCATTTAGGTGCTGACCCCTTGCCACCCCAGATAGAATGAATCAGAATCTACGTTTTCACCAGATTCCTGGTTAAAACATAGATTCTGATTTTATCTGGGGTGGAGATGCAAATTCTCAACATAGGATTCAACCAGAATGAACCAGTTTGAAGCCCTACAACAAACCAAGGGACAGAAAACATCTGGCTCTCCAGTGACCCCGTATAGGATTTCTAAGGAGCAACTGGTGGGTTTGAACTACCAACCTTACAGTTATCAGTCCAGTACTTATCCTATAGTGCCACACCACTCCAAGGGTGGGTTGTTGCTGTTAAGTGCGAGTCCGTTCTGACTCATAGCGACACTGTATGGAGTTTCTAAGGAGCAGCAGGTGGGTTTGAACCATTGACCTTGTAGTGTTCAGACACAATGAGTCCGACAATCTATGGTGGCTTGAATTGTGTTCCTAGAAAGGAATGTCCAGGTCCCAAACTGGACCTGTGAACATGACCTTGTTTAGAAGCAAGGCCTTGGCAGATGGAATACATGACGTTAACATAAGCAGCCACAATGGTTTAGCCCTTGGCTACTAACCGAAAGGAGTTCTGGTGTGATGATATAGGATAAGCATAGGACCAAGTGCTTATCCTACAGCGAAGTCAGCAGTTCAAACTCACCAGCTGCTCCTCAGAAACCCTAGACAGGGTTGCTCTGAGTCTGTACCAACTTAAGGGCACTTAATAACAACCACACTAATTAAAAGCTCACCAGTTCAAACCCACCCAGTGGCTCTGCAGAAGAAAGCAATGTCTTTAAAGATTGTTGTTGTTAAGTGCCATTGAGTCAGTTCCAGCTCATATTGACCCTGTCTAAGGTGGGCTGCAAACCTCAGGGTCAGCAGTTCGAAACTACCAGCTGTTCCGTGGGAGAAAGATGAGGATTTCTGCTCCCGTAAAGATTTATAGCCTCGGAAACCCCATACAGGGTCACTATGAATTGGAACCGACTCCACAGCACAAAACAACAGCAACAACAGGGTTTACGAGGAGCGGCTGATGGGTGTGAACCTCTGACCCTGCAGTTGAAAGACATTGTGGTCTGGTGCATTACCCTACAACGCGCTTCTGTACAATTTCTAGCCTGGAAAGTGCTAAGGGACAGTTCTGCATTAGGTTGTTAGCAGTCATCATGAACTTGACCATGAGGTCATCCTGGAGGAAGTAGGGTCCTAATACCAGCTGAGTGGTGCCTTAGGTGTAGTGGGTTATGTATTGGGCTGCTTACCACAAAATCAGCAGTTTGTATCCACCAGTTGCTCTGCGGGAGAAACAGGAGACTTTCTGGTTCCATAAAAATTTACAACCTTGGAAACCCTATACAGACAGGGTCACTATAAATCGGTACCGATTCAATGGCACACAAGAACAATGAGAGAAAAATATGGAACAGAATCTCAAATCCTTAAAAAAAAAATACCTACTGGACCGTTGTGGTGCTGGACAACAAGGTCAGTTTGAACTGGTTTGATCTCACTCACCACCTGTTCCTTGGAAACCCTATACAGAGTCGTTATGAGTCTGGACTGACTCTTATAGCACTTAACAATAACAACTGGACTGGTAGAGACGAGACCCTGTGATACTTTTCAAACCTCGAACCTTATAGCTAAATAACCGAGTAATTCATAAAATAATGAATATCACTTGTAAGTACTTCTTAAAAAAAATCAGCTATATGAGACCAAATAGCCAACAATGACTTTAAAACAAAGAAAAGAATATAAGAGGGAGAGGGAGACTAGATGAATGGAAACAGAGCAACCAGAATGAAAATCATGAGCATGCTCACACACTGTGAAGAAGGTAACTGACGTCACTGAACAACCTGAGTAAAAACGTTTAATGGGAACTGCAACTGCTCTGTAGACCTTCACCAAAAACACAATAAAATACTATTTTAAGAAAGAAGAAGTAAAGGGAGAGAAGGTGGTCATGTGATAACAGAGGCACATTTTGGAATGATGTTGCTACAAACCAAGGAATGCCTGGGGCTACTGGAAACCAGGAGAGGACGTTTCCTTAGGAGAAAGCACAGCACTGCTTGCTGACTCCTTGACTTCAGACTTCTGGCCTCCAGAAACTAAGAGCCAATGCATTTCTGCTGTTTTGCGGCACCCAGTGTCCCAGCATTCCCTAGGTCGTTAATCCATATTCAGGTTGTCAGAAGGTGACTCCTGCCCAAGCTGGGTCCTCAGGTCTTACCTTGGTCAAGGTGTATACCCCCAGCAGGTTCAACTCCAGAAGCTGTCGGAAGCCTTGGGCGGAGGTCTCTTCCGGCCATTGCGGGGGCGGGTCTACAAGTGTGAGACAGGGCAGAGAGAAAAAGAGAGAGTTGAGGGGAACAAAAGACAATAAAGGATGTAAAAGAAGTTTTGTAACAAAAACGGGGGAATAGTTCATCTTACAGTTCAGAAACAGAGGACCCTAGGACCATCAAGGGAGAAGAGCACATGTGGAATGCAGGACCTTATCCAGAAAAGTAACAACACCAGAGATGGAGGCAGAGAGGGAGCAGCTGAAGACTCTAGATTCATGGGAAGAGAGGGACTGAGAGCTGGAGGGCCAGGAGGCAGGCTTGCAGAATATGCTCTTTGGTGGTGTAAATTATTATATATGCCTGAGTGTTTAAAAAAAAAAGAGAGAGAGAGAGAGAGAGCTAAAATGAGTAGAGAGAAATACTGTTAACTGATTGATGGTACATGGAGGGGATTATAATCATTATAATGAAACAAGGTGTATGATTTGTTGAATGTAAAACTGATGATCTGCCCTGTAAACTTTCACTCAATTTACAATAAAAACTTAAAAAAAGAGAGAGAGAGAATGAAGGAAGCCAAAGACTCACAGAAGAAATGAGTCACAGGACCATGGCCAGCTCTATCCTGAGACCAGAAGAACTAGACGGTGCCCAGTTACCACTCCCCACCAGTCTAACCAGGGACACAGTAGAAGGTGCTAGATACAATAGGAAACAAAGAAAAAAAACTCAAACTCCTTAAAAAGGCCAGACTGCCTGGACCTACAGACTAAAGGATCCACTGAAACTATGACCCTAAGATACCCTTTGAACTTAGAATGCAAGTCACTCCCAGAAGTCACCTTTTAGCCAAATAATAGATTGACTTATAAACAGTATCACCTATGAGCACTGTACTTCTTTTAATAACCAACTATCTGAGACCAATGAACTCCTGGTGTGGCACTGTGGAATAAACAATGGACTGCAAATCACAGGTCAGCAGTTCGAACCCACCAGCTGCTCCTCGGAAACCCTACACAGGGTTGCTATGAGTTGGCACTTAACAACAACATATAAGACCAAACACTCAACATTTACTCTAAAGCAGAGATGAGAAGGTAAGGAGGGGCAGGGAAGCAAGACGAATGGGAACAGCACACAGAATAGAAATTTCCAGAATGCTGACACATTGTGGAAATGGCAACCAAGGGTCATGAATATGTATAAAAATTTGCTACGTCAACTTTCACCTAAAACACAATCAAATACGCTTTTTTTTTTTTTTTTAAGAGAAAGAGAAAAGACCAGTCTCTGGGGCTAGATAACCTGATTTCAAATCCCAACCCTGCCATTTCCTGGCTGTGTGACCTCAAGCAAGTCACTTTGCCTCTCTGTGCTTCAGTTTCCCCATTTGCAGAAAAAGGCTAAGAGGTTGTTGTCGGACTTATAACTGTCAGGAGTCAATATTAGTAACTGATAATTGGCACCATGAATATACGTATTTGTTGAATAAGTAGAAGGAATTGGGGTAGGAAGGGGAGTAAAGGGAGCAAAAAATATCTTTCAGAAGACAAGGAGCTGGAAAGATAGGAGAGTAAGAACAAAGGAAAAGATACAAAATGGGCAGAAAGAACCTGAGTGCTCCCAAAATACCAGGAGATAAATGGATGGAGGGGCAGAGAAGTGGTGGAATGGGTTGAAATGTACCCCCAGTCCCACCAATGGTGTGCCATGGAGTTGGTTCCGACTCACAGCAACCCTGCATAGGGTTTCTGAAGTTGTAAATATTTACAGGAGCAGAAAGCCTCATCTTTCTCCCGTGGAACGGCTGGTAGTTTCGAACTGCTTACCTTGCAGTTTGCAACCCGATTCGTAACCACTACACTACCAGAGCTGGACCATGGTTGTAAAAAGCCCAGAAAAGGTTTTCTTACTAAAAGACATAATCTATGATGGTTACTGAGGGAAGGGGGAGGGGAAATGATTTATAGACTAGGTGCTCTGGTAGCATAGTGGTTACGAATCAGGCTGTGAACCTTGAGGTCAGCAGTTTGAAACTACCAGATGTTCTGCGGGAGAAAGATGAGGCTTTCTGCTCCTGTAAGATTTACAGCTTCAGAAACCCTGTACAGGGTCGCTATGGGTCAGAATCGACTCGACAGTACTTAACAACAACACCATCATTGAATAGACACATGTTAACAACACATGTTAACATGGGTGATTGTTGTTAAGTACTGTCACGTCAGTTCCGACCCATAGCGACCCTGTACAGAGGGTTTCTGAGGAGTGGCTGGCGAGTTTGAACAGCTGACCTTTTGGTTCAAACCGACTTTGCAGTCCAACACATTAACCCATAGCACCACACCAGAACTCCAACATGGGTGACAGGGCAGACAATATAGGACCAGAGGAAAGATGAAGGTAGCAGGAGACACAGGGAAGAATGCAATAGTTAAAGTGAATGGTGGTGGTGGTGGTTATGTGCCGTGGAGACGGTTCCGACCCATAGCGACCCTGCATAGGGTTTCCGAGGCTGTAAATCTTCACAGGAGCAGAAAGCCTCATCTTTCTCCAACGGAACAGCTGGTAGTTCTGCACTGCTGACCTTGAGGTTCACAACCCAATTCGTAACCACTAAACTACCTGAGCTCCTGGTTAAAGTGAATAGAGCTAAATATTGTTAACTGATGGTACACAGAGGGGATTGCAATCATTGTAATGAAGCAAAATATATGATTTACTGAATGCAAAAGTGATGATCTGTTCTGTAAACCTTCACTCAATTCACAACGAAAAGTTGAAAATAAAAAGTCAAGAAAAGGTTTTCATGCTGCAAGAATTTGTTCTTTGAGGGAACAAATCTTTACAGCGAGGATCATTCCCAACCCCTCCATACACAGAGTAGGCAGGGATGGGCAACTTGGACATTGGCTACCCAAAATGGGGGGTACTACAAAGGCAAGAAGTGACTGACTTACAAGCTTTCAAGAGGGAACCTAGATCCAGAGGGCATGGAGAAAGGTAGAATCTTCACTGAGTAGTATCCAATCTGATGAAAGGAGATGGGGATAGCACTCATGTGGTACAATAGTGAATAATTGTTATCAGGACTGATTGTGAGGGTTGGAAATGTAAAAAGGTAGACATTTTGTAGAAAAAGGAGGGGAATAATTGACTTTGCAGTCTAGGAGCGAGGGTCCCTGGGACCATCAGGGGAGAAGAGCGGAGTTCAGGACCCTACCCAGAGAAGCAGTGATGCCAGAGATGGAGGCAGAGACAATGATGTGGAGAGATGGAGCAGCTGGGGACTTTAGACCTAGAGAGGGAGAGGGGCTGTGTACTGATGACCGGGAGGCAGGCTTGTAGTGTATACCCTTTGATTGGCTGATGATGCATGGAGTGGATTGTAACCATGGCAGTGAAATGATATACAATAAGACGAATGTAAAGTTAATGTTCTCCCATGTAAAGTGGCGGAGGCCATGCAGAGGACCCTAAACATGAAGGGCTCCTTGTTAAGTAGGGCCACAATGGGTCCCCCCTTTGTAACACGAGGCCCGAGGAGGGATCTCATGTAGGGACTTTGCTGTCTCCGTCTCTTTGTTTTAATCAGCTTATTTTTAATTTTCTTGATTTTATAATAAAAGTTTTCAGTAGAATCTTAGTAAGAAATATATTAGAGATTTAAAACTTGCACATTCACACCATATTCAATCATGCGTAGTCCTAAAGAATGCTTCTCACACTAACAATAAGTTTCACCACTAGGAAAAACCAGCTAAAGTTTTTGCCAGCTCAAGTTCAAGATTACATTAAACGTTCTGTGCAGTTTCGGTCAGGGGAATTAAGACCTTTAGAAAATTAGCAAAAATGCAATTGAGGGCTAAAGGAATAGTATTAGATCATAAGCAGAAATTTAACTGGATGTTTTGTATAGAGAAGTTTTTGGTATAAGGAAGTTGTTCTGTTTCTTCTTGGCTATAAAACTTTTTTATGCTTCTGGTATTTCTTGTTTAATCAATCATGAGAAACAACTGTGTTGTCAGTTACCATAGCAAATAAGTCTAGGTACATGTTGTGATTAATGAATCAATAGAAAATAATAGGTGAGGGTAGAAATAGGAGTTAAGATTTAGAATTATGTTTTAAGGTTAACATGACATTTTTAGAGCTATGAGGTTTGCTTACAGAAATCAGATATTGTCTAACTATGAAAAGGGGTACAAGGAAAAATTTTATATTCTTGATGCTCTATATTGAAATGATTAATATGTATGATTTAGACCACTACTTTAAAAAGAATGATTAATAGATTGATGGTATAGAGTAGTATAAAAGCTGCTTGAGAATCTGAAATAGGCAAGAGGAGAAATAAAATGTAGAGAAGAGAGGAGAAATAAAATGTAAAGGGTGAGAGGAATAATAAAGTGTGAGAGGATAAATAAAATGTTAAGAGGAGAAAATTCACCATTTAACAAGACCCATCGATTCTGTGCACTTCATTCTTCACTGACATCATACCTCCCTATAGGACCCCCAAATAAGAATGTCAGAGCTGGCTTCCGACAGTAAAGTATCACATAATTCATAATAAAACATTAAAAAAAGAAAGAAAGAAACATTCTTAGATGGTTACTAGAGGTGGGAGGGAAGGGGGAGTAATTCATTTACTAGATACAGGGTTACTAGATACATGTTAACTTGGATGAAGGAGAAGGAAAAAAAATATGGGGAAAAAAACCATAGCTTTATATTTTGATACTTTTGTTTAACACAGTTTCCTTTGCTTTTGTAGCAATAAAAAAAAATTGGAAATAGAAACACCACTTGACCCAGTAATCCCTCTACTTGGTACATATCCTAGAGAAGTAAGAGACAAAGAGAGAGACACACTCATGTTCCTCACAGCCCTGTTCCCAATAAGAAAAGGATGGAAACAACCTAAATGCCCATCAATGGAACAATGTGGCTAAACAAACTTTGGTTCATACACTCAGTGGACTAATTTGTTGTTGTTAAGTGCCGTCGAGTCGGTTCCGACCCATAGCGACC